AGTGGCTGGAGCAGGCCAGAACATCTTTGGGTGGTGGAGTGCAGAGGCAGTGGCCTGCAGCAGAGGAGTCCCTGTGAATAGCAACCATGGTAAGGATAAGAAGGGACTTCATCCCTTTGCTTGCTGGAGCATTTCTGGGCCTCGTTCAGGCCAGATCTGGGTGCTCTGTGGGGCAGTAACTTGGACCTTTGAAGATGGAACATGATGGTTCCTAAAACCCAGGAGGAAGCCTGGGAAGAAAGCCTTGGACTTCTCTCGAAAGGGCAGGGCTGGGATGTGGTAGGCATTGATCCTTAAGGCTTGCCAATTCCCTGCAGACCTGAGACTTCCAGCATGTTGGCCCGGAACTGTGAGGGGTGTATGTGTCTCAGCTGGTGTCTACCTTAGCTCAGTAGAGATGGAGACCCCCAGGGCCGGAGTGAGGCACCCTGGAAATTGGTGGCCAGGACTTGCTGGAAGCCTGGCCAAGCCCTCCATGGCCAGTGAGAGAGAGGCTCCTCTGGAGATGGGAGCCCTGCAGGGCCTTGAGCCAGCTCAGGTGCAGGAGCCCAAGAAATTGATGAGGAGGGGCAGAGACGACAGACCAGAGTTAGGGAGACCTCAGCCTCCCAGAGAGGGGTTCTGACTTGGAGCCATCACCTTCCTCTGAGATCCCCCTCCCCACTGCACTTCAAGGAGTAACTAAACGCTTGAGGCCAGCTGCTGTTTCCCTGGCCAGACTAAAATTATGGCATGGGCAAGGAGGGAAGGAGGGTGGGTGGCAAGTAGGAGGGCCAGCACCCACTGAGGTGTAGAACGTGGATCCTTCTGCCCTTCACCACCAGCTGCAGCCCAAAGCCCCTACAAAAATGCCTTGTCTTAGATGTGATCAGAACCACCCCCCAAATATTATTTTCACCCCCACAAGCCTCCCATCATGTTCTGCCCCCCATGAATGGCATTTACTTCTGTGACTACATACGGAGGACGCTTAAAATCTCCATCTCTGCCAGTTCCCGGAGGGGAGGATTGATGTGTCTGACTCTGCTTGGTGGTCCCAGTGCCTGGTGTATGGGCTTGACGCTTAGTAGGTGCTGGGTAACTTGGTGCTGCGTTACTGACTTGAGAACGTTTATTGAGCACCCATTCAAGTACTAGGCACTGTTAGGAGCTGGGAAAATGGGAACATCTTCCTGGAATGGGGTCCATTTTATAAGGTCCTTTCACAGCCCTGATTCCATTCATCCCTGAAAAGCTTTTGAGAAAAGGTGAGGGGATGAGGTGACATGAGGTAACTTGCCCAAGGTGACTGGGGGGCTGCTGACCTGACCTCCGGCTGACAAGTGGGAAAGCCTTGGGCACAATCTGTTCCCTCTCTACTCTCCACACGGGCTGGGGCTGTGGGGGCGGCAGGAGGGGTGGCGGGTTTGGAGCTGTTCTCCTGGAGGACCGAGGGGGCTCCAACAGGTGGGGGTCGAGGGGGCAGGTTAAGGCAAGACTGCACCTCTGACTCCGTGTCTCCTGCAGACGGACCAGCAGGCTGAGGCCCGGTCCTACCTCAGCGAGGAGATGATCGCTGGTGAGTGGGGGCGGGCAGCTGTCCGGCCATCTGTCTGTCTGTGGGGGTGATGTGTACTGGGGCGTTTGGTTCCCCCGGGTTGGGAGGATGGTAGATGCGAGGCTGGCTCACTTCAGCCCTCTGCCTTCCTTCCCGTCGCAGAGTTCAAGGCCGCCTTTGACATGTTTGACGCTGATGGCGGCGGGGACATCAGCGTCAAGGAGTTGGGCACCGTGATGAAGATACTGGGCCAAACGCCCACCAAAGAGGAGTTGGACGCCATCATCGAGGAGGTGGACGAGGACGGTGAGCGCGGAGCCCTCGGAGGCAGGGCGCCAGGGTGCTGGGGCAAGGCGAGCACCCCCGGGGGACTCGGGCTCACGCGCCCCTGCGCCCCGCAGGCAGCGGCACCATCGACTTCGAGGAGTTCTTGGTCATGATGGTGCGCCAGATGAAAGAGGACGCGAAGGGCAAGAGCGAGGAGGAGCTGGCCGAGTGCTTCCGCATCTTTGACAGGTGCGCTGGGGGCTTCG